AGTGTTGTTGGTTGAAGCAAAGAGAGAGAAAAGTGTTTTCACACAATTCCTTCAAAACAGATTAATTAGATTGTTTTGAATTTGTTTTGTTTGACTGTGCTAGGTTAATATGGTTTAATGATTTTGTAGAAGTTTATCTGATTTGTGGCAAGTAAATTTACTTGTTGCGGTTATCTAAATCAGATTGTACACTCTATACTAATAGTGCGAATCATGGACCTGATGAAACTTATTTGCAATGTACTTATACAACAGTCTTGTCCTACTAAGGATGCAAATATCTTTCCTACTTATAATTCTGTCCAACTAAGGTCGATGATATTACATTGCACCATATTTTGTTGACGGAGGAGTCTTAGATGTGCTATTTGCACAGTTGTTCGCAATTTATTGAACAAGATTTTATTTTTCTATTTTGAAAGAAGTATTTGGACACACGTTTCCGTGGTTTGATCAATGAATTTCAATTCAAGTGTTATTTGTTTGAATTAAACTTTGTGTATTTGATATGGTTTGATTCAGACATCTGGACAGCATAAAGTTATGTTGACGGAGGCAATGAAATATTTTGATTGTGAAAGATGTTTAACGACGATTTCTGATGATTGGTTAATCGTGAATGGTTCAATTTAAGTCGTCCTGATGCACCTCTGAGGCTACTGTCTTTTCCAAGCTCGGATAAAGGAGGAAGGTTGGGAGTGCAGTTGGCGAACCCATGCCTTTGAAAACAAATTCGCTAAAAAACTATAAGCATTACAAATAATTCAAACCATTTTGAATCTGCCCCATTAGTTAGTAGGTCTTAATTCAGAAGAATTAAGACGTCTGATGAGGAAAGCCTGAGTTTCTTCCATGAGACCGAAGCCCCTTCTCACAAACAGCACAACCATTCCGTTACGCACATACTTACTTAAATTTCGCCAGTTACTCCCAATAGAGCATAGGCCACCAATCAGTGTTCTCTAACCCATTCTGTCCTGGGCTTCCCTTTCCAATTCTGTCCAATTTTGGTTCATTAGTCTCATGTCTTTCTCTATTTCTCAGCGTAATAAGTTTCATGTCTCTCCTCCATGACTTTTACCTTGAGGGATCCAGGTGAAGGCTCGTTATGTGACTAAGTTGGGTGCGTTCGTCAATGTGTGTCTTATCGACTTTCCGCGCTTCTTCCTGATTTCCTCCTCCATTGGAATCCGGTTTGTTCTTTCAAACAATAGGTTGTTGCTGATGTTGTTTGACCAGCAAATTCTGGGTATATTTGGTAGACAACTGTTCATAATTACTTGTATCTTCTGGATGATGGCTTTCGTAGATCTCCAAGTTTCCGTCCCATACAGTGGAACTGTCTTGACACTTCTATTGAAATTCCCGATTTCGGTTTTGGTTGAAAGTTGCTTGGAGTTGCAGATATTTTTCAATTGAAGAAATGCAGTCCTCACTTTGCCGATCCACACCTTCACATCTGCATCAGATCTACCTTGGTTGTTGAAGATGCTACCTAGATATGTAAAGGTGTTAACGTTCTCCATGGAATCGCTATCAAGAGTGACTTGGTTGGCACACGTTGTGTTGTATCGTAGAATATTGCTTTTCCCTTTATGTATGTTCAAATCTGCTGCTGCTGAGGTTGCTACTACACTGGTCACCTTCTCTTGCATTTGTTGTTTCGTGTGTGATAGGAGAACCAGGTCATCTGCGAAGTCCAGATCATCCAACTGCATCCCAGCTATCCATTGAATACCGTGCTTCCCTCCAGATGTTGACGTCTTCATAATCCCATCGATCATTAGGAGAAAGAGAAAGGTTGAGAGTGAGCAACCTTGCCTTACACCGGTCTCCATCTCGAACGAGTCTGTCAACTGACCTCCGTGCACGATTTCACAGTTTAATACATCATAAGGATTCCGAATGATGATGGTCTTCTTCACTTTCCTGTTCGCTTCTGTGTATTCAGCTTGTGCCTTAACTTTCTCTGCTCTTGTTCAGCTGACGTTGATTGCTGTCATGTGTTCCTCCTTTCTTCAATTTTTTCAATAGTACCAACAGAGATCCATTCCTTGTGATGGTGTTTCTTGTAACCCACAACCTCGAGACATGTTTAAGTACCTGTCACCCTGATCGCTTACCAGTTATTCTCAAGTTTGTTTTCTCTCAATTGAGTAGATCCAGCAAGGCCTGAAACGTATTGCTGAGGGCTATCTTGGATTCGTTGAATTTTACGGTGTCCCGAAGAAAGGCCGTATTAAACTTTCGTGATGTTGTCCGCTATGTTGTCCACTGTTACTTCAATTTCAGTTTCGTTTGGCGACCAGCAAGGGTTGATCTGAGGCTACATTAGCTCCTCTCTTGGTTCTCACGTCTTCCATGGTCCATGTGACCTTTTTATTGATACATATATGGTCGATTTGCTTCAGAGTAGTGTGATCTGGTGAAATCCATGTACTTTTGTGTATGCACTTGTGTGAGAATATTGTGCCGCCTATGACCAGTTTGTTGAAGGCACAGAGGTTTGCAAATTTCTCACCATTTTCGTTCCTTTCTCACAGTCCATGTCGTCCTATGATGTCTCCATATCCAGCGTTGTCCTTGCCAACCTTGGCGTTTAGCTTTCCCATCAGAATGGTCAAATCATTTGATGAGAAACTCTCCACGTCTGATTGCAGCCTCTCGTAGAACTGATCTTTAACGTTTTCATTGTGTTCGATGGAAGACGCATATCACTGGATGACGTTCATTTTAATGCCTTCTTTCTTTGTTTTGAAGGATGCTTTGATGATCCTGTGTCCATGAGTTTCCCATCCTGTAAGTGCTTTTTGCACTTGTTTGGACAGCATCGTTGCAACTCCTTGTGTATGTGAGGTATTTAATAATTTATTACCAGAGTGTAACAGCAGCTCTCCTGACTCTGGTCACAGTCGTCCAAATTCGTCCAATATGTTTAACTTTTTCTAAGCACCCATAGGTTATGTCTTATCATATTTGCAGCGATTGGGAACAGTTTTTGGATCTCCCACGTTGTTCGAACTTTCTATGACATCATTCAGGATTAACATCATCTGGAAAATTATTGAAGACCGGAAATCGTTGTATACATATTTTGTCTAAGTCATTAGTTGGAGCTTGTTTATAGATATGAAAAACTGGTAAACTTGAATTCGACCAATAGAGATCCCAACAGATTAATTCACATCGATATTCATTTGTGTTGAATCCACATTCAGATAACTGACCTTATATATGAAGTTGTGGACAGACCGTGTGTGATATATATATATATATATATATCAAACAAAGGATTGATACAAGTCCGAAAACTAATCGTATGCAATCGCATATAGTTATTCAGTCAAAACGATGACAGGAATTCTGTTCGAAGACCCGTAAATGTACAGATAACAACAGAAGAAATCATCCATGGCCAAAATTAATTTTCTATAAATCGGATAAACTTGTACAAAATTACTGAAACCTGTCAACTCAGCACAATCATACAAAACAAATTCAAAACAATATAATTTGTCTGTTTTGAAGGAATTGTGTGAAAACACTTTTCCCTCCTTCCATCAACCAACAACACTTTGTTCTAAAAATAAACAATGAAGCCTCAATCATCATTCGAGTTTAGTACATGGTCAACATTTTAACCTATTCCTCTCATTGTTCTTCACTTGAACGTGTCGACAAATATACCTTGACCTAAATCGATTGCCCTGCAATGTTAACGTGTTTAATGATCGATGTGAAAATTCACTAGAAATTCAAACATGAGTGATTATCAAAATTAACTCGGGTGATTGAGAAAAGCGCAGATCGTAGTGTAAATCAATAGATTAAATGTACCTGGAGAAGATAACCCCCCCCTATAGTTATTGCAAAGAATTACATCGGTCATTCGGACACAAAAGATTATCACGACCAATTTGAGTAGTTTATCACGTAACATCCTAAATCTGATTTCTATAGACCACTTTAGCGTATAAATACACATGCAGTTAGACTACATTTCACTTGACAACTTCCATCAACATTTTCGTGTAGTGAAAGAAAACCAGTTGAACTGAGTAGTGTAAGTTGGTGAATGTTGTGTAGTTCACATGGTGCCAGTATTACTGATCTACTCGATTCATGTTGAATTTTACATATGAATTCATCAGTAGACATTTACTTATTACTCACATGTCAACATTTCTCTTTCTTTCAGAATTACAATCACAATGAGGCTGATTGTCTTGCTACTACTGAGTGTGTTCTTCTTCGAACACCAACTGGTCGTATCCGTGTCACTCTCTGCAGCCAGTTCAGGTGAGTCATTGATATAATGAGATATGTGAGGCTAATGGCAAACTGACAAGTTCGTCAGCTTGAATCTGTGTTTCATGAGGCATCAACTCATCAAATGTTACTGTTTGTTTTGCATGTTGTGTGAGTGATATGACCAAGTGTCTCTTAACAGACAATCGTATATTGCTGTTTGACCAGACAACTTCAAGGCGACAGTCCTCTGTCCATGAGACGGATAGTTGTGAATGACACGTGTTTCAGACATTTTCTTGAGTGGTGTAATAATGAGTATATTTGATCAGTTGACATGATGGCAGTGAACATTTGTGCCGTTCAACCAGACTGATCCGCGTTTGCACACTGACAGTTGTGAATGTTTGTGCTTCCACACATTGTATACATCAATCTTTCTCTAACATGATGTCTTCCTTTTTTATAGAATCGACCGACGTTACTACTACTGAGTCGAAACAGAATGAAGTGACAAATGGTTCTGAGAGTGGATATGAAAGCGAAGATCCGGGTGTTGGTTCCCTAACGACAGACACTCCGAACATTAGTGTGGTAGGAAATGACACAAGTAATAGCTCACAACTGCTTCATGGCTATTATAACCACCACCACCACCACCACCACGGACATGGGTGCTATGGTCGTCATCATCACCATCATGGATATCATCATCATCATCATCATGGACACCATCATCATCATCATCATGGATGTGGTCATCACCATTATGGTCACCATCATCACCATCATGGATATCGTCATCATCATCATGGATGTGGTCATCACCATTATGGTCACCATCATCACCATCATGGATATCATCATCACCATCATCATGGATGTGGTCATCACCATTATGGTCACCATCATCACCATCATGGATATCATCATCACCATCATCATGGATGTGGTCATCACCATTATGGTCACCATCATCACCATCATGGATATCATCATCACCATCATCATGGATGTGGTCATCACCATTATGGTCACCATCATCACCATCATGGATATCATCATCACCATCATCATGGATGTGGTCATCACCATTATGGTCACCATCATCACCATCATGGATATCATCATCATCATCATGGATGCGGTCATCACCATAATGGTCACCATCGTCACCATCATCATGGTTATCACCGTCACTATCACCATGGTCACCATTATCGACATCATCACCATTATGGTCACCATCGTCACCATCATCATGGTTATCACCGTCACTATCACCATGGTCACTATTATCGACATCATCATCATCATGGTGGTCATCACCATCATCATCATGGTCACCACTATAGATACCATTGGTAATGTGATTCGACCAGATTCTCTATTTGGTTGTTTTCACAAATCCTCTCCAATTCCCATCACATTATCCAGTATGTTATCTGGATGAATAGGATTTCCATTTGTAATGTAGTATTTAACCCATCCACTTAGTACTGGAATATAATTAATTAGTTTGTAGTAATTTTCTCTTCTGTTTTAATCATCACAATATATTCATAGTCAAGTCAAAATAATTTCGATTCTGTTTGTGGCATTACTGTGAGTGAACTATTATGTTTGTCGTTACCATTTGTAGACTTCTCAGATTTGTTGAGTTAAAAAATAAATATGCTAACAAACGATCAATCATTCATTTGCATATTTGTGATATCGGTCGCTATTCGTCGTTAGTTCATGTTTGAAATCGAACAATCAAGGTTGTTATTGTTTGACCTGACAGCCTTAGTTCACCATATACATAAGTTATTCGAAGTATAAAACGTTCAAAGTTACGACTGTTCTTATATTACTATAAAAATTATCAATAACTGTCAACAGTTCACTGAATATCGAATTCGAAATAGATCGGCATATTGGTCATAAACACATGTAGGTTGTGGTGAACTGTTAGTTAGTCAGCAGTAATCACATATCGTGTGCGTGAGATGTTGCAGACATCCCAGAGCATACTATCCCAGATAGTTGATGTGTGCTTGTGTAGAATGTAAGTTATAGTAGCGAACAGTGATGTAGACAAGATAGTTTCGAGTCGATATTCTCATTTAGCGGAATCCATCTTTGTCTTACTCTGATCGAATACACTGAATTGGTTGGTTAACATCAGTGTAGATGCGGCTGCCCATCACCAGTTTCCTTCATGAGTTCAGATAAAGTCAGAGCAACAGCTGAGGAGAATATCGTCACCTAGTTCTAATACGTGGGTACACTTGAGCTGACTACAACTTCTTTCGTATTGAAGCATAATATGAGATTACATGGTGAACAGGAATGACTATGAATAATCAGATTCATAGATGTCACCAGTATTGTAAATGATTTTGAATGCATTTATATTTATGTATGTATTTGTTTGTGATAGATCGAGTATGTTTAAGATGGTTTGTCAGAGGGATACTTCAGTGATGTACCCAATCTTAATGAGAACATCGTTCTCAACTAAACTGTTAAAGTGAATAATACACTTTTTATGAACTTCGCATTGTGAATATTTTCCTGATAGCTGGTATACAACAGAAGTGTTCATATAATAGTAAAATATCTATTAAGTAATGTTACAAAAACCATTGTGAGTATTACAATGTTTACACACACATACACACACAAATGTTTCTGATTCACGATACTATCAACACCGACTCTTACTCGAACCATTATCGCGTATTTGAGTTTTCTTTGGAATTATTTCTGCCTTGATTTTCTTATTATTCTGTTTGCTTTTGCTGCTATCATCACAGGTTGACGATTGTTTTGTTTGGTCAACGTCTCGAATTCTAGTGTAATCCAAAATTTCTTTAGGAAAATCCGTTAGGCAAAATGAACAAATATAAGAACACGTATTAATTACAAAGTTGCTTTATTATGTCTGTGTAAAATTTCAAATGAACAGCTCAATTTTATAAGACTGTGAAATCAGTAATGTTTAATTTCCGACTCAGTTGATAAGTGATCTGTATTTAGGACAAGCATGAAAATTAAAAGCATAGAAATTTGAAAATACATCAACTCAATACTCCGATATACCGAAAAATCTTGTTCGGTTAGTTTTTCTCAATAACAATATTGCTCCATTGTCATCTGTACATTGAAGATGTTATCTTCAGTAGAGATTCCTTTTCAATGGTCTCATTCCCACTTACACTGAAAGCGCATTCGTTTCGTAACAACGATCATTCACAATGGATGCTGTTTAAGATTGATGACTGAAATGATGAACATAATTGATTGTTATTCGTGATGACCAATCCGATTTCGCGTCATGTGGTAAAGGTCCTCCACTTTTGATTTTATGTAATCGTACGCAGGTTTCGTATTCACAAACATTCACTATACCGCGTACATTGCAATGTGAACGCAGCACACGTGACCGGGAATGGATCTGTTTCAATTTCTAGGTACTATATATGCATGCATACTTTATTCAGTACTCATAGTTGTGATTCAGTTTAGTCCAGAAAACCTCCATCACCACTACTGATCTTCTCACTTATTAGTTAGATTGGACTTGCGTATAGTGAGTAGGTTAAGTGTCAGCATTTGTCTCAGACAACGAGTGAAATTACGGTTCAATGAAAGGTTGCTTATTTACCGAAAATTAATTATATGTGAATTGAAGTTACTCTGATAGATTTTCAACACACATAATACGCGAAAACATGAACTCACCATCATCATGCTCCTCTGATCTCACTCCTTCAAAACACACCAATGATAATAATAAGGTGAATATTATCAGTTTCATTTGTTCTATGATAAAGCTTTGAGACAAGTAATTAACCACGTCTACAACATAAACAATACACACAGCACATTTGATTACCTGAGTCTGCTGTGGAAACTTCAGTATATTTTCAACTGCCAACTGGAATTACACAGAATTCACATTCAAATAGAAACACAACTCACGCTTTTATACACGTTGAGATTCGAAAATTCCGATATTTGATTCAATAGAAAAGATGACGAACAGAAAGTGTTTGTATTTGTCATAGTTCTTTCGAACTATCACTTTCTTTATCATATTCGAATTTCGATGTTTGTCAAATTATTGGTTTTATTATTGGCAGTCAATTGGAAACTTGACATTTGACATTGTATTTGTCTTCTCGTATTAGACAGATCATGTATACTCATTTGTTGTGATTGTTAAACTTGTCTGAATTATTTTAGTTTGAGTGAACCGATCATATCACTGAAACATATGCGATTTAATTTACAAGGAAATTGATGGTGCCAATTGATGATAAATTTTCAAAGAACATTTGAGCATACAAGATGTGAGTTGTTGGTAAATAAATGAGGTCATATTTGTGCCAAATATCTAGTACAAATTGTGTATACATGTGACAAGTGTCATGTAAATTACTGTCTGTAAACTGTAGCATCTACCATTGTTAGTTGCCAATATGTGACATCGAGATCATAGTCAATATAGCGCTAATTTTTATCTAAATCGAAATTCACGCAGAATTGTTTCAATGCACTACGACGATTTACTAGTAGCTACTCGGAAGTCACTCCAGGTAAATGCTTCTGTAGCATTCAATCTAGCTGACCTAGACGATCTTAACAGTTTACTGCGGAATTTGGAAAAAGTGTTGAGAATTAAGAACTAGAACTTCCAATGAAAATTGAATTCAACCAGCTTCCATCTGCCACTCACAAATACAAATAAACGGAACTATGCTAATTGACTTGTGAAAGAAATAGTCTGAAGTATAAACTGTCTGATAGTTTAACAGCCAAATAATCTAGGCGAATTTACTGACAAGGTCAAGTTCACGTCAAAGTATTGATGATTTGAAAAGATAATTGGTTAACTGCTTTAGGCATATATCATCTGTCTGATAGTATTGTCGAAAATGTGAATTGTAAGAAATATGGAGCATCATATTGATTGATATAATAATTTCAAAATACATTATTAGAATTAGAGTAAACGATTTCTTAGAATTCATGAAACACACTGTCAAATTATTGCAAGTTTCACAGAGGAAATCAAACAAAACTGATATGATAATTGAATTGAAGTACCATTTTAACATGAAACATATCTCTCAACACCATATTTCTATAATTCATGAAACTGTGACACGTTTCAACGTATCATTCACCAGTCAACGATGATGTCAAACACCATTTCTAATTTCAACCATTCAGTCAACTTCAGTGAATAGAGTATCTGTTAAACTGTGATATCAAGGAAAATGCAATTATACCACGATTGACTGAGATCAACACTCTGATTCCACTCAACTCAATCCTACACTTTCCGTTGACATGAAATCATACATCTGTTACACATTCAAATGTATATTTCGTAAGTTGTTCAACTCACATATCATACTGTCTGGAATATAATATAGTGACTGGACGGTATTTAGATACTAAGTTTACCAGTTAGTAGGCAACTAGTGCTAATATTATCTAACAGCGTCCAGAGACAAATTATTTTTGACATCGTAAACGGAAATCGGATACGATGATATACGGAAGTAGGTTTTTGTAGGAATGTAAGAGTTAATGTTTCACAAGATAACACACTATCAATCATGAAGTATAGGATTTCTTTCCGAATGTAATAGTCTGAGCTCAGTATTATACTTTTATCATTGACTACAGAGTATATTTGAACACTGATGTCATTTAGTAAGCAAGCAGGAACATTGGAAACTGAATCAACCTTGTCAGTTAGTGGCTTTCACAAAATGATTGAATGAAACAATCACAAAACGATAAAATGTATTTTCCACCATTTGTATATTACTTAAGTCAATCCGATGAAATCAACCACACAGTTGCACTAATCACAAGTGAATCATGCTCCATCCTCGGCTAAGTATGAGAGAAGATATACATTTGTGTAGTAGAGATCATCGTGACAGACTGTTGAAACAATTCACATGATGCAAATACAATTTATCCAATTCACATCATCATTAACCTTTCGTCAAATTACATCATAATTCTAATTTGTTTTACAATGTATAGTGGAGTTTTCAGGTATCTCAATGTCTTATCAACTAGAAATCATTGTCATACTTATTACATAGTAAGTAGACAAGTCAAACAAATATTATCAATATTCAATATACAA